AGTATGTAGCATAAGCTATATTGCTACGTAGAGCTGAAGGACTCATATGAAATAGGAGGTTCTTCATTGATATTGAGGATTGTTTGGCATTACTTTGGCAAGTTTTGCTGACTGTTCATACTCAGATTTGGTTTGTTGGTTAACCAATCTCATTTATACTGCTGGTTGCTTTTTGGTGTTCTCAAGAGCCATTGTTACTGGGACGTTGTAAGGCATATCAACATCAATGAGTTTGAATGTCATGCAAGCGGGATAGGTCGAAATTGACCTTTACATGCTGTGCATTATTGATTGACGCGATCAGTGATCGCGTTCGTTTCCGAACCTAGACTGTTGAAATCATTGTAATGTATCTGATTTACGAAGTATAAATTTTACGTGGTCGGGTTCAAAACATATATTTTTTTGTGGTAGGGTTAGCGTTGTAACTCATATATTCAAAGATAAGTATGAAATACTAGTTTAAAACCTGCTACCTGTTGTAAGCAGATTGTTTCAATTACTAGTTCATCTGCTGATTAATTTCATTTTATGGGTTTACTATTCAGCTCGTGATTACTTAATTTGAGGTTCAATTACTGTTAGAGCGAATTCATAAAATGGTATCACTTGTACAATGAATTAGCTATCAGTGAACCAAGTGAATAAGACTTATTTATCTATTGTATAGAATAAATAATACTTTTTGAGAAGAAATCTTTGGAATTGATAATATGACATAATACACCAGCAGACTTTCATAATATAATAATCAGCTTATTACTGGGCATAGAGTATCAATGATATTCACTGCTAAAATGTAGTCTATAACATTGTATCTGCCATATCTAAGACAAAAATTTTTTAAATAAGAAACCTTCAAATGAGTATGGAAAGCATGCGTCTAGATCACAGAGATTCACAACGGTTTTGTTATTGAATTTAGTGTAAACAAACCATTTCAAAAAGGAAGTTTAGAGTTGTGATAAGATAAAGTCCCAATTAAATTTAGAAATTTTACATCGGAACATAACAAAGAACTGAGACATTATTACTCTTGTATACTTTTTATATTTCTCTTATTGAATTATCAATGGTGTAGAAGTTAAGCCTTCGCGCCCGTGACCGAAGGTCCTATGTTCGAGTCTTGCGTGCAGGATCGTGGATAAGCACTGCTGAGAAGTCCCATACTAGGAAAAAATGACTGTCCAGTGCTTCCAAGTTCTCAATGGCGGTCTAACATTAATCAGTTCACAATCTCAATTTAATCTTATTAAATTGTTAAGACATTCGGATGTTGAAATGTGTAATCTCATAGTGATGATAAACATTCAGAAAATAATTTGAGATCACTTTTTACATTGTCAACAGACATTTTACACTAAAAAATTGGTAGGTACGTACGTCTTAGTTTATATGTCATAACACATATTGGTGTAATTTTCTAGGCTGATAAATTCAGCGCCTACTTAGTTTTTTTCTATATGATATGACTGTATACTGTTGAAAACAACAATGCCTTTGTCTTATTTAGTGACTCAGCCGATCGCATTTGCAACCAGGTAATGTTCACCGCAGACTTAGAATCACTATTTGCAAATGCTCAGTTTAATAAACTTGTAACTATAAACAATGTCTAGCCACTTCTTCATTAAACTCATAAACCAACAACGGGAAAGTAAAAACGATTACAGTTAATAATAACCGTCAGTGTTAATTTCGATATTGATCAGTTTGAAAGTGAATGTATTTCTAAATGTCAAGTGAAATATTTTCGTTGCACGTGGGCATGAGAAAAGTAACAAAACATTTTACAGAAAAAACAAACTATCTTTGGTCTACATGTTTTTAAGTTATATTTCACCGGGTTTTTTGTTTTGGGAAAATGTTAACTAGTGAGTCATAAATAACGAAATCCCACAGTATCCCATTTTATCAGGAAATTATTTTCTAAGAAAATGAAACAGATTTGATTGGTGGAAAGTTAACCTGAACAGATTGGGACAGTATATATATATATATATATATATATATATATATATATATACATATATATATATATATATATATCAGAAGTTGAACGAAATCCTCCACTGCATTCTTTTTTCGATTTTCATGCTTGGTGAACTTCAGTTCTTTAAGTATTTCACCTGTTTTAGACGTTTAAAATTCATCCTTATTTTAGTGAAATGACATGAACAACATTGTGGTATGTGCTAAGTTGATTGTGTATTTAAATCAATAACAAAGACTTAAATTTACCAGGGTTCTAAAGTAAGTGCCTTATTTCTGGTTTGTAACCAGTTAATGAGTATTTGGTGATAGTTGAACTGTCAGCAGTTAAGTAATAAGCTGTAACATGATGAATTAACGGCAAACTGACCTTTGCCTCATATATACCACTAAATTCTATAATCACTGATTCTAAAGTATCGTGTTCGTTGGAAAACAGACAGGTTATAGGTTCGAAACCATGAAAAATTATCTGTGTGCACAGCAGAGAAGTTAAAATGAGAATGAAACAACTGTTGGATTGCTTCTTAAACTTTTTTACAGCTTTTAATCTGAAATCCGCTTATGATAAATCTCAATCCTAAACAATGTTTTCTTTTACTCTGGTTTTTGTAAAATTAGTCAATATTGAGTTCTGAAAACATAAACAAGTGGTGTTTTCAATAGTGAGCTGTAACTAGGATGTATAAATGTACAAATATTAAAAGTATTTGGTATTTAAAAATGTAAACATAGTTAAACAACTCTGAGTTTATTGTAAACAACATGTCAGCTATCAAATATATTGAAAGAGAAAAACAGATTTCTGTCTAGAATGACAGGAGTAATACTGTCATTCTCAATTTGTATATATCCTTTTTTTAAACTAGCCTTATGAATAGGTACATGTACATCCAGGCGTTTCATTGACCCATATAAACTGTACAACATACATTTTAAACTGCTACAAATAATTGAGAAACAATCAACTTTAACAGTGAAGTTTTTAACTGTATTGGAGTGATCTATATAATAACCCGTTATATCATTCGTTGAGATCCAGTTAAACAGTTATGAACCAAAAATGACTTGTAAAAACCGACTATTCATACTGTGACCATTCTGTATAGCTTGGTGTAAAAATTAGTGGTTGATTAGGAGATTTAATGAGAAGAGGAAGGTTATAAGAATTATGTGATATATTTGCGCAATACATTTCGAACAATCTCATCACACATATACTTGTTAAAAAATTTTTATATGAAAATTGAAATCCTTAACCTACTCTTGTAATACTGATCTATTATCGAGAGTGGTTATCACATTGTTTTGTGTGCTTTATTTTTTTTGTTACGACTTACTTTTAACCTGTCTAGATGACCTTTTAGTCTTCATATAAAAGTGTCTTAACAAGTACATGTGTGATCAGATTGTTCGAAATGTACTGCGCAAATATATCACTTAATTCTGATAACCTTGGTCTCTTCATTGCATTAGTGAAATTTATCAAAGGGACTAAATTTTATACATAGGAGATTTAAATGTGATTATAATAAAGCTATGAATATTTGAAAATTCAAACAGTATTTATGCGAAATTCAGGTGAACTACAATGTTGGTTGTCAATGTTTTCTGATTTACAGCGCAAATCAAAGCCCTTATATCAGATGATATAACATAATCATAAGATTTAGACTTTCAGCTGAGTCACTGGAGTTACTTGTTTAGAGACTCAATCCACTTCTGGCATAGCGACTGAATGACCTTTTCCAAATAGGTTCGAAGATTGGGCCTTGCCAATAAGTCTGTTGGCAGGTAACTGATTTGAATGCCGGCACTAAAATCATCCACCTGGGTCATGAATTTCCCTTATCATTTCAATGTATATATATATATATATATATATATATATATATATATATATATAATATTGTATAGAGTCAGTTTGTTCGAAGTCTACTTAATTGGACTGGTTTTGTTGCATAACCAACAGAAAGAAGATGAGGGAAACTTGCGCTTAACCTAAGGATTTTTATTTCGTTGCTGTAAAACGAATTTATTAGCAGAATGTGCTCTTATGATGTCATTAAATATATGTGATGATGATTGGTTATTACAAGAAACATTTCAGTAAACAGATCTTCATTTATTGTCAGCTGAATACTGCATAGGGATCAATCAGTTGTATGTACCTTAGTCCTACCGGCAGTAAGTTATGATCCGTATAGCTCAGTTGGAATGTCTCAGACTGAAATGTTGGGTGACACAATACCCAATCTGTCACGAATCAGTAGTTATTAATATTACTATTAATGACTTTACTCAATATTGAATGTTTAGTACAATATGAAGTTTTCAGCACAAATTATTTAAACAAGTTTATCATACAAAAACAAGAAGCAAATATAAAGACTGGTAACTACATACTTAAAAATGTAAATTAAGTAAATAAACTACCTAGAACTAACTGTAATGTTTTTGTACAGGATACCACATTTAATGAGTAATATGTTTAAGAATACAGATCTCCTAAAGATTAAAAAACGCCTTGCTCATGAGTTCCAAATAGCATAAAACATAGATTTTGTATATCCTGTCAACTGCCTCTAACCATTTAATATTTTGCTCCACTCGTCTAAGTGTGCACATAGGTTTCACCCAAGGCTGACACAAAAATGCAGTAAAATAGTTTTGACTAATAGATTGAGATCCACAATAAGAATACAATCACAACACCATACTCTATCAAACTCAATACTCGATGCGAGAGTTATACCAACTAGTCATACAGTCGGGATCTAATAGTTTATAACTTTCATTTGTAACCAACTCATAGTCTAGTTCTATATATATCTAGTGTTATTGCATCCCAAATTCTTTGGCTCCGTAATACATGGATCATCATCGAAAGTTTAGGAAACCTATTCTGAACTAAGTCAATATAAAGTTCCATTTAATTTCGCATGTATAGAATTTATTACAAGTTATAGATAATTTTCGTAACAAAAATGGTGAACAACAACACTTACCATCAGTTAATGGAATGGGTTTCGAAGTAAGGTTTAGAATTAAGCTCATCGAAGAAGGGAAAGCTAAAAATAAAAAATGATATTATTGAAGTGAGTTAAATGAAAGTAATATTCAGAGCAAAGTAAATGTTAAAATAATTATATACATGAACATTTTTTAGTTTCAACACAGTTTCACCAAATTATTTAGTAATAAGTGACCAAATCCTGAGTACCGTAATCATTACGTAAGATTCGACAGGTGTTTTACGAAAATAGAACTAACTATGTTAACATTCATGTAGATAGTCGATGTATTTCAGATTCCTTAGATGGAAGTCACTATCTAGGCTACGTTCAGATTCTAACATTTGTTTTGATCATTTCTATTAGAAGCATAATTTGGAATTAATAATTTCTTGACTACTGGTATCACTAAATTATTATATCCCTTTGAGTTAAATATATATTTCAAGTCAACAGTAGCGACCATATATGCTTTTAGAGAAGTATTTAGATGATAACCTGTACTTGTGAATAACTAATGATCATTTCAACGACAACGTTTAGTCTTCATTCTTCTAAATATATATGCACACACAATCAATATAATGATGAAGAATAATTCAAAATATTTGTGTAAGCATATGTTCTTCAACGTCGTCGGCCAACATAAAAAGCTCCGTTGGCATATTACACAACAATAAGCTGGTTTCAACAAAGAACAACAGTTAAGATCTTCGGAACAAGTCATTTGATGAAGATAACATTTAGAAGAAAAAACATTCACCACAATCTCCCGTATTATAAATGAGTAATAACCAAATAATCAATGAAAGAGATCATACTCCTCTGTTCTTATAAAAGCAGATACATTTAAAAAATTTCAAGGAATAAATGATGACTTGAAGACTAAGATCAAAGAAGTTTTTTCTAAGAGTATAAATATTATGAATGAAAAAGAAACAAACTGAAAAAGTATGCAAAAAATGCATCAATCATTAACTAGTTCCTTTATTAATGAATTGTCATTTTAATGTTTTCATTTATTCATCTCTTTCTTTCTAAGTTGTTTAAAATTCATTGTTCTGTCTTTTTTTAGAGATGAGTGTGTGTTAAAAAGAGATTCACGTAGTTGATTCCATACTTTGTCAATAAATTATCCATATGAATCTGGCTGTCAATTATACATTTGGATCAGTGGGAAATTCATCAAATATCAAAATGATAATCAGCATCGGGATTTGTAAAGATTGTAGTAATTCTAATAGTTGAATTCATGAGTAGAGCTAAGCTAGGTCACCATTGAAAACCTGAAGACACTGGACGACTCTTTCGTCCCAGCATGGGACTCCTCAGCAGCGCGCATCTGATAATAATTATGTGTGCACTAGTGACTAGCTTCAGAATAGATTTCCTGGAGTTGTGGTGAAAAACCGTGACAAGTAGAGTCCAGTCCGCGTTGGATTGAGGCAGTTATCCACTTCAGATAATGGATGAATGGTTGAGCAAGATCATGGATTGGTTGAAATTAGACGTTAAAACCGTTGGATGCCGGCTCAGTGGTCTAAAGGTTAGGCGTTCGCGTGCGAGACCAATGGTTCTGAGTTCGAGTCCTGCGTGTGAGATTGTGGATGCACACTGCTGAGGAGTCTCGTACTAGGACAAAACGGTTGTCCAGTGCTTCTAGGTTTTCAGTTATGGTCCAGCTTGAATAGATTTATTAGTTCATCCATTAGTATTGTAGTATTATTTTTTATCCAATCGGTCGACTGCCAGTTTCAATAATATTGATGTTTATCCGTATATTCCTATGTAGTCCAAACTGTTTCGTAGTGTAATGAAGAATAACTATAAAAGTGCATTTTCAGATGAAAAATAGAATGCCCTGAAACTGGAATTTCATTTTTATAGACACTCGTCACTACTGAATTTTCTCTATCTTGAGACAATCATTTAACGCCCTAGAGATTCAGTGCTACACTGAATTATAATTCTGAATTGATTGAATTATGTTTAACATGTTAATTGACTAATATTGTCATCGTAACTACTGGTGCAATTCACCAGTGAATATCAATATTTCAGATAAATCATAACCGGTTAATGATAGTGCAGTCATCCAAAAAAGAAACACTTATGGTATAAAAAATACAACGAACGGCCAATCAATCAATTTTATATACTTATGATAGTCAAATGATCTCTAATAATCTGTAACTTCAAGATTGATAGAACCAGCTGGAGCAAACATCATTATAAGTAACACAAGAAAATGAAAGACAGAATGTGTTGGGAAATAGTGCAACAAAAAGAATAAAAATCTTATGATGATTTTACATTATACGATCAATAAAGTTATCCGTTAGGTAGTTTGAAGTAATTGACGGGATACTCCAAACTGAGGTTAAGCGCTACTTGGCAATCATCATCAAAGGTGTACTGAGGTAATTGTTGCTTCCCGCCATATTCGATATTCCGTCATGCGACTTCACATTCTGAGATGCTACCACAGGATTAACTGGGTTGAAGCACACCTCTTTTGATACTAAGATAATTAGAATTGGTTGTTCATTCAGTAGTGAGCAATGTCGCGTCAGTCTTAACCTTGTAGACCTGACAGAATCCTGTAGATCTATCTGCATTATGGCCACTAGTATAAGTTATTCAGTATAATATGGATCATGTTTCGATGTCATATATAGTTAGGGATAAACGACAATAAACCGTAGACTATAAGTATAAGTGTTTTGAAAATATAAGATTAATTTTTTACACAGTGTTTTATCCATTTTCACAACTTGATGGAGCTATAGAATACTATGATTGAAATACACAGAAACCCAAATGACAGTCTTCTAGAGGTAAATAGTTATGTATTATGTCGTTAACACTTGTTTATACATTCTTTTGATGTGAATAAATAGTTTACCAAACTTTTTAAAAAGATTATTCACTTTGTATTATAGCCGTAATTATGCAAACGTCACTCAGTGAACTCATTTATTAAAAAATAAGAGGTGATTGGCAAGTTAATGTAGTTTTCCTACCATATTCAAAGTATTTTGGGGTGATAAAATGCTACTTGTACACTGTTCTGATTGATAAGTATATATGACAGTCGTCAGTTTAGAAATTTAAATGGATTAAAAATGAAACTATTAATTTGAAAAAACTCTCGTTGTAGTATAAAATTTAATTATTTAATTGAGTCTTAGAAAATGATGTAATTACCATAAGAAAGTACAAATCAGTGAACTGGTTCATAATATTCCACTGTTAGTTAACTAATTACCTCTATTCAGTATTACTTTGTCTGGTCCTTGTTGTTAACCGAATCCTTTTGGTGAAACTAACATGTGACCACTTGTCCAGGTGAAATAGTGGTGAGCTCGTTCTCGGTTGATGACAACCAATAGAACGTTACGGATCTAGGTTCCGAACTATTTTAAATTCATCAACAAGACTTATCTATAATTTTCACGATGCTTAGACGTCTAGTGGAATCTATCACTCATTTTAAAAATAAGAGATGCTACTACTGAGGTAAAGGGGGCGTAGTTGAGGCTTAGTGTGACTGAGATTTAAACATACCTTTTTATCTAGTCCCAAATAGCTACAGGAATTTCTGATGACTGCCTAAATCATAACATAATAGCCCGATTTTGCTTAACTCTATTTCTTTATAAATTTTGCTTTGAATGTACTTGATTTTGATTGTTAACTAGTACAATAACTTGAACTGTACACTGTTTAACATAATCATAAAATTTCGATGAATAAATCACATATAAAATGAACTTATAGGAGCCATGGAAAAAGAAGTTTAAATAAAATGAGAGCCCAGGTCAAACACAAATTTAAACTTACATCCCGAAATTTCGTCAAAGTCACTTGGTACAAATCGTATCCAATCCTCTATCCCTTGACAGGAATGTATATGAATTCTGTTAGACAAAATGTAAAGCGGATCACCAGTAAATAAACATCTGTATTACAACATTATGGTATACATTTTTAGCTTCTAAAAATGATTAATATTTGAGTCAACTTAGTGGAGTTTATTTGACAGTTCCTGAATCAACGTAACTAAGTGACAAAAAGTATTTCCTTATACGTAGTGCTGCAAGAAACACAATGTATTTTTTGATTTTGGAGTGATAGAAAGACAACATAATAAACAACTTCTGCCTTAGACAGAAGCAGCTGTTATTCGTCTTCTCAATCCTGATTTCTAAATACAAAATGGACTTTCGATTTACCCGACACTGGAATGGTAACCGATCTGTTATAGCTTTCCTTTTTCTCCAGTTATCAAAAAATTTAAAAACACTTGAAATATCTTATTTAATCACATTAACATTTTCACCATTTATTTTAGTCATGTTTTCATACCTAATTTGTGGTTATTACGAATAGTCATATTGTTTTAATACTGATCGATACTTTTCAATCCCCCCGCCCCTCAAGCATGGAATTTCCTCATACTATGTTTAATTATTATTTTTATAATGATTACTTTAACATTATGTTTTGGTTCTAAACCATTAATCTTATTATAAGCAGAGATGGATAGTGGCTAGCAGTGGAATCCAGGACGCACATTTTGTTCCATTTAAGACTCGTCAGCTGAATGTTTACTCTGGGACTCGAACCCAGTACCACTCGATATATCGAGCCAATGCGCACAGTATGAATATATGGCTAATAAGAGACTGATCAATTGCAGACCTAAACGTCAATGAGAAGATTCAACCAAACAATAGCAAGTGAATCATTAGTTTTATTATTTTATCTAACATCGTCATAACAATTCACACATGTTTCTTGTTATCAAATAACTTGTCGACTTGTTATCACTTGTTAATTCTATTCGTCTATAAATCGAACTTGTATCAATATAGAAAGTAGTTATAGATACTTTTACAGGTGAAATAAGTGATTTTATCCATTTTTTACACATAATCAAACAGTTATTAAATATTTTATTTATCTTCAACTTAGTATTGCTTGTTTGAATCTTCCCATCGATGTGTTAGGACTGCAACTGGTCAGTCTCTAATTGGCATATGAGCATCGCACAAGCAAGTGGCTATCAGGACTCAGTGGCCGAGTGGATAAGACGATGGCGTTTGAAGCGAGGGTACTGGATTCGAGTCCCAGAGTGAACATCAACTCTGAGATGCAGGTACATCCAGCTGACGAGTCCCAAATAGGACGAAACGCGCTTTGTAATGGATTCCACTGCTAGCCACTATCCATCTCTGCTAACCATTTTATTTATCTGCAAAAACTGCTGCATATATGGAAGTTTTGCAGTAAATGAAATGAAATGGTTTCAATTATTCCAATAATATTTCTTATTATCAGAAGGGGGTTTTGTGGAGATTTCAGTAATTTTATATAGTTGAGATCATAAATCGATTGAAGCTAGACCACCATGGAAAACCTGGAATCACTGGACGGCCATTTCGTCTTATTGTGGATGCGCACTGCTGAGGAGTCCCACAATGGGACGAAACGACCGTCCAGTGCTTCCAGATTTTCCGTGGCCATCCAGCTTCAATTGACTCATGATCTCAACTATATAATATTTCTATTATTGATTTCTATAAAAGTTTATCAAGACACTTGATTGCTTGATATATATTGTTAATACAATGAGAATCTATGTATTGTTATATCCACAAAATAATCATTTACATGTTGATTTTCTCGCTTTGTGCTTCCATCTTAACCAATACAAATTTGTATTATTATTTGATTGAAAATATGATGACTAAATCAGTCAAAGTTGTTATATCCCGAAGAGAATTCTGAATGGTAACTTTTGAGGACAATTCATGGACCAGTATGATATGTATATTTTCTATTGTATAATTGTTAAGTAACTTAAATATTCATAGTTATGTTCTTTTTATTATAAGCTTTATTTTGACCTATAGACTATCATTATACGATTTACCAATCTTGAGTTATCCCTAGTCCATCCCCTATTCACAGCCACATTTGGCCAAATCTTGTACAAATGTCATTTTCTATTTTACGGTACAATGTTGGTCTGTCTGTTTGATATATAAACCCAGTATGTTTGAGAATAATAATTCATATTGCAGAGGCTGTGATTGATGTTCTGGACTTAACCGGCTGGGCTAGGCAGATAATAGGACCAACCGGTGCTCTAGACTGCTCTGATCGATAATTCACTCCTATCTGATTGGCGGGAATGATCACCTCATATACTAAACAGGGTACGCATTCACACTATGTAACAAAAGTTTTACTGCTTAAATTCAACATTTTAATAGAATTTTTAAACAAAATTGAATTTAAAATTCACATGGTATTGTTTGTTTGAATCTTTCCATTGATGTTTAGGACTGCAACCGGTTAGTCTCTAGTTGACATATGTGCATACTGTGCGTATTGCCTCGATATAGCCCTAATTCACAAGCATTATACGCAAAGATGGAAGCCAAAGGTACTAGGTTTGAGTTCCAGAGTGAACATCAATTCTGAGATGCAGGTACATCCAGCTGACGAGTCCCAAATAGGGCGAAACGCGTGTCCTGTATTCCACTGCTAGCCACTATCCATCTTTGTTTAAAATTCAATTTTGTTTTGTTTTATTTAATTCTTCATTGGTTGTCTTTTATTTAGTTGATCAACTTAATAAATCATAAAATTCTATGCTGTAAATGTCCATGTATTAATCGTTTATTTAAAACTGTATTTCCTAAAGTATGAATAAAACTAGTTGTTTGTTGAGAATAAACAATCACTTTTTCTAAAGATCACCAGTAATAGTTCCTTAATTAGTGTGTCCATTAAATAGGCGATGAGATTTCAATTTGAATTTAACGCTTTCTCGGACCTCTTTAATATGAAATAAGACAGTTTCATGAGCTTATAACGGTTCATGGGACATTGTTGAAAATTATCAACCATATCAACTTAATCTAACTCCCATTACTCTAGATAATAAACGTGTGCATACACAAATAGAAGAAACAACAAATTAAATAGGTAAGGAGCGATCTGTGATGTAGAAAGGTTAAATAATTTGAATATAAGTTGAATGACCTAAATCATTTATGTAGCAGATAATATCCCGGATATATCCATACTGTTTGCGTGAAAGATGATATGAACTAAATTTTGATTAGTGTTGTTCTTCCCTGTAGTTTACGGTATATCCTTATTTCAAAAGGATCATAATTAAAGACTAAAAGACTATATATGTTTATGTTTAACAATCAAGAACTCTAAAAGTTAATCTGTTTGAGCTAGTTTTTTACTTCATGCGAATTTCAAGTCGTGAGAATTTGCATTTCCTGTGCAATGAAGCTCATGGAAATTCATATGAATCATCCTGATACATACAACTAACTGTTTTGTTAAACATTTGGATATTATTTACAATTGATTGATCACTATATGCTGACCAGTGTCATGTGGCTCATGTCCTTCTTAGTGCAGATTGAGTTCTATCGACCGAGTTGCGATGTGATCACTAGTCTAGGTGACTCGACATCGCGTGCACTATACTGAGATGTAAGGTGGTGATTGGAGGTAGTTGAGAGAAAACCCTGGACAGATTTGTCAGGGGGCATCAGTTTTCTAAAGATTACAGATAGACCTTGGTGACGAATACCGAATAGTGCAAAACTTAGGTTCAAATTTCCCTGTTGACTACCGTCAACTCCGAACTTACTTTGGATATTAATTTGTAATACAGTCTATCCCAAGTTATGATCATGGTGAGAACATAAGTTTTTCCCTTAGGTTAACTAATTCTTCTACTCATTTTATGATTCAGTGTTAAATATGTCGCTACTTCTTATAAACGTTTCGCATCCATTTCAAATAATTCATCTACATATCTGAATATTCTGAATTGACGTTTTACTTCTCGTTCATTTGGTATAACAATATTATTTCCATCAATAAATCTGATTCCATCAATACTATAGACTAATTCACAACCATTTCGTTGTGGTAGACCTTATTCTCTTTTGTGATAAGTGACCATTATTGTATAAATCTTCTGAGTAATCCATTTTGAAGTAATTTTCCTCCATTCAATTAGTATTCATTTAAACTATCACAATAGCAACAAACGGTAGTAGATAAGGAGATAACTTCTTTGAGATTGTACACATATCTGAGTTAAATTGTGTAAATTCTATAGGATGTAAGTCAGTGAAGTAAAACTGATGGACTGAAAATGCATTTTATTGTGAATAAAATAACCGGACAGTAAGATGGAATGAAAACCAAATGTCATTTCTTTTTTTGTTCAAAATTCGAGCTCAATGTTATAGATAACCAAACATTCCGCTTCTTCAAAGATTGGGAACCGAAAAACTCGTTTTAAATTTAAATGAATTCAATCAATTAACTTTAGCTTGATCAAGATTAACTAAATATTCAAATAGTAAACACCTAACAATTTTCCTAGCACCCATATCGAACATACCTGAAATATGTTCCCATTTTTTTGTATATTGTAGACGTTTTGAAAAGGTATATTCTAACGATTTACACCATCCAACTCTCTCTCTCTTTTCGTATATATATATATATATATAGAGTTTACATTTTTGTATCCAGTGGTGATGACAAAACTATATTTCATTGAATTAAGCTAAATGTATTTGAAGAATGTCATTTTAATATTTCGATTATTTTTAAGTTTATCTATATATGTGTCAATTAGTGTACAGTGTTTTTGAAGTCTAAAATTTCTTACATCCCATTAGGTAAGTAAAAGAAAAATAAAGTGTAGGAAAAATTCAGTGAAATGTATGTTTATAACTGAAGATCTATGCTATTCCCTATTCAATCCAATATACAAATGTAAATTAATGGAAATGCACAGTTGTATGTTTATTTTTTTTAAAAAAAGAATTGTTTAAAAATGATTAATTTTCATAGTAGACAGTTTGAAAAGGTTAAAAGCAGTAGGATATTTGAAGTTACTTAAAAAAAGTGGAATTTTCGCAATTCTTAAAATTATCAGAAGGGGGTTTGTTGTCACATAAAATAAATGATTTTGATATATTTCAACAACAACAAGAAAATATGTCCGTATTTGGTTACGAAATTGATTTATACAGAATGAAGTATGTGAATAAGTTAATGATATGGTGATGAAGATTTGTAGCTCAGCTGGATGATTTTGATGAAGTTTTGTTCTCTTAGCTGAATGATTTAGTCATGAAGCTTTCACCGTTATTCTCAATGACATCATCAGCACAAAATTCAGAGAACAAAACATCATCAAAAGTTGATTATATTTATTCTGTTTGTAGTAAAATAGATTGCGATTTATGCAAATAAACGGTAGGAATAAGAATGGTGTGTACTAAAAACTGATGTATAAAATAAATTTAGGATATTCAAAAAAACGATGCAGTGGAAGTTTAACTGAAATATATACTATTTCAGCCGAAATCGTGGTAAATGAACTTAACTACTGCTTGATCCAAGGAGAAATATTGCAGTGCTTATTTATCAAACCCTATAAATGCAAAATCCAGTTCTGATTTGAGGTGTGTTAAATCCAGATTGGTTGGCAAAGCCTTTCCTGAGGAGAGATGTAGGCCATTGTAGAATAGATTCCACGTTTTCAGGGCTTAAAAACCAACCACGTGGAAGTGATTTTGTGAGTAATGGAGGTCCTGCAAGTATTTGAATTTATGTAGTTATTTTAACAAGAAGAGTAAGTAAAGGATTTTTTAAGTTTTTACTTACCATGGATAGGTATAGTCTGCATCTGAGTAATTCCTTGGTATACATACAGGTAAAACTACACTGTGAGCAAATATAAACTACATGTACACCGGTAACGCACAGATTTTATCTCATGCATCCCATAACATACACATAAGTATAATAACTCACTTGTGAGAGTAAATGTTCACCACTCTCTCTGAAACGTATTTGCTACAAGAGACTGTCTTTTACGCATTATATGCATATCATTTACCTCAAAGCTACCGCCCCAGTACATTCTGACACACACATAAGCACAAGAATTCTCTCAGGAGGGGTTGTTGGTCGCCTGTCCCTAGTATTTGCCACCATATCTTTTTTATTATGTCTTCGACCTGATAGATTAGGCCGATAATTTTATTAGACATAGGGCAGACTTTATTTCAGCTAACGTTTCCTTTGCACAGCACAAGTTATACTTTACTAATTATCACTGAAAAATGACACTTAACCAGTTTCACTAGAATGAATAGACATTTATTACAACAATAAAACTTAACATTCAAATTATAAACTGATTAGGTAAAATGTGTCTTCTAAAATCATTGAGTTGAACCATGATACTACAGAAATGAACAAAACTGAAACTAGACATGCGAACAATGACTTTAATAAACTTAATTTGAAAAACCCACACACTTACCGAAATAGTCGAATACGTTTCAAAGGATAACTTCTGGAATGATAAGCCAATATTATAATATCACCACTCAATTGTAGACCAATATTATGATTAGAGTTAGATTGAAAATTCAATACAAGATTTGAAGAATCAGTTCGTTCGTATTCGCTTGTAAAAAATTAAAGATTAAGCATTTTGCAATCGATAGAATTAAGAATCGTATAGGATGAAATTTAGCTTAAACTCTCAATCTTTTTGAATGTCTAAAGGGAAAGTTTAAATGCTTCACAGTAGTAAGACCACTTTGATATAAACATTCACAAAGTACAATAATAATAAACAATTTAACATCACTAGGCGTCAACAATGATAAAGTTTTAGACTATCAACCTTTTGATAGAATGGCACAAAACAATATACTATTTTAAAGATATTTTGTTTTCAAGAATTGTTTAGTTCGCAGATAGCTTTCATCATTGATCAATATCAGATGAAGAATTACTAAGACAGATGGATCACTGAATAGATACTTTTTAATTTATAGCTGGTCATTAGTGTAAATTCATGATTATATATACGATCTATCCTAGAAACTGAATGATCATGTATGGGGTAAAACACTATTTAATGAGTGAACTACATTTCAGCTGCGTACTTTATAAATTGATAATGTTAAACTACTATGCAACCCCACCTCCTTCAGTCTGTCAGTCACAGTTTATTATATCATTTATGAGGAATCATAATCAAAGATAGTCATCGGTAAGACAACACTAATTATTGTACTTATTGAGTGATGTGAAGGGCTTCTGTTTATTCCATCTATAATCACTGGATGTATACTTCTGTGTAGAAGTATTCAATACTCTTGAGTTATTCTAGGTTTTTTAGGTAGTATTAGTCCGTGTTGATGAGTAACTATGGTCTCAAACTATGAAGTAAAATATCATCTACTACATCTAATGCAACTACTTTTTATCAGTATAGAGTTGTGAAGATTGTAGAGTTTTTCGATTGAGATCATGAATCAATCAATATTAAACCATCCAATGCTTCTAGGTTTTCAATGGTGGTCTAACATTGATTAATTCATGATTTTACAGTTTACTACATAAGAAAAAAATAACAAACTTACTAAAGGTTTGTAGTATACATATGTACAGGAGGAGAACCAGTATAGAATTTAAAGTATAATCTTAATTTATTATTTTCAAAAACAGGAAAATTATATAAATATATCTGATAGATATGTAATGGTGCACGTAGAATGTTTAAACTATTAGTTGGTGAGAATATTTCCATATAACCAGCGTATCTACAATCGCAACATAAATAAATAAATAAGATGAAGTATAAGTCATATGATACAATGAATAATTAATGTTTCTATCTATTTAAAACGGTAGACAACCATTGTGACAGAATTATTGAAATTTTCAACTATATAAAGTGGATTCGCTTCAGTTGTTAAGGGATTAAAATTATTATATCAATAAAATGAATCCTCATTTACAGGGAATGTATTGATCAAGTTTAGTAAGGGTGGGAGAACTCAAGAACTAATTTTTTACAATTAAATGTTGATTGAATAAGTATATGAATATTTTACAAGACAAAATCGATTACACTTATAATGTTATACCTTGAACTTAAATTCTTAGCATGTAGCGTAATACTTGAGTACTCAAGTGCTAGAACCCTACCAAGTCGCAAAATCAAAAGACAGAAGACAAATAGAAGGAATGTTATTCCAAACAGTGTCAATTATGGTACAAAACTGTCAGGTATTTATAGTTTTTAGTAGAAACGAAATCATCATTATAGTTATCCAATCCGCACATAGGGGGTTATCAGCATTATGCAACAGGTAAGCTACACGTAGTGATTCTAGAATATTTTTCCAAAAGCTGATTGAATAGAATATGTTCGGCTCCTTCTGAGCTTCTTAGAGCTTCTTCAACTTGACCTGTGGACCGTTCTCACAATAAAATGATCTTCAAATGAGAAAATTATCTAATAAATTATACATCTTGATATTGATTGGTTCAATAAAGCATGAATAATGGAATCCTCTGGAACCAAACGATTTAAGTTTAACTTGTTTGTCAAATCAGCTTATTTTGTAGATGTAATTAGATAATGAATGATAATTGCTTTTTAAATTCAGAATACAAAAAGAAGTCTTGAAAGAATTCAGTTAATTTTATTTTATGTTCTCTAAATATACTAATTTATAAAGATAAACAAAATGCTTCACAAATGTAATTTTCAGTAAAGGATAGGTCATAAATTGAGGAAATCATCGAACTGCATCATGAGGCAAACCCTAACATTGAATCGTGAAGGGAAATGGGAAAGACGAAGGCCAAAAATCACACTACATCAGGGATTGGAAGAAGATATGAAAGGATGAATAGCAAGCGGAAAGATTGCTCAGTGCAGAGTTGGATACAGAATGCTAGTGAGCGGCCCATGTTCCTTCATGAGGAGTGACAGGCGTAAGTAAGTAACATTCTCTTTTTACATACTTATCCTGCAAAGAGTCAAGTGTTACTTACATTCGTCCGAATCTATCGGCTTTGTTTAGTCTACCTTCATGTTGTCTGCAATTTCGCACAATAATTTACTGCGAACATGATACAAAGTAAGTGCAACCCCTAATTCCAGTTATTAATAACTTTGTTTCTTGAAAAAAGCAACAGAATCACATCTACAAAATAAATAAATTCGTACTATTTCAAATATGATCAATATTGCCATAGACTAACTGACTATTTCTATGGAGAAAACAACGGATAAGCATTTTTAACGTGATTGAAAGGTTGCAGCCAGTTGACAATGAAACGATGACAGTATGTGTATTTTAATTTCTCGGATGCTTTTTTCTTAAATCAAAACTTAAATCATTCTCCATCAAAGTTCTCAGTTTATTATTATTAGTTATATACCAAGAAAACAAAAAATACGTTTAAACAAACTTCTTATGTACATGCAGGTGTAGAGATATAGAAGGGGAATCTGTAACCGATTACGTATAATTCTTAAGAGTTAGTATAAAAATATTACGCTGAAAATGTCATGGATCCTACCGCAAGATTTGTTAGCTACAATTATGATAATCAAGAGATTTGAATTTTCAGTATGGGGTTGTGGATACTATTGAGACTTTGGTTGAGATCATAAACCGATCAGTGTTAGACCACTACTGAAAACCTGGACGACCGTTTCGTCCTAGTATGAGACTCCTCCACAGTGCACATCTAAAATCCTGTATGCGGGATTCAAAAACAGGACCTTAGTTCTCGCGCGCGAACACTTAATCTTTAGATCACTGAGCTGGCACCCAACGGTAATAATGTCTAACTCCAACCAATCCACAAAATTCTGAGACTATCTTCTATTTTCTGAGGCAGATACCTGTCTCTACCCGACACAAATTGGACTACACTGGTCACGGCTTCTCACTAGAACTTGAGAATTACCTCTTGGAGCTAGTCACTAGTGAGCATTGCTGAGGAGTCCCATACTAGGACGAAACGACCATCCAGTGCTTTCAGGTTTTCAGCTATCCTATTTTTGCAACCCATTGGATCTTTATTAAAAATTTTTTGAAAATTAATATTTTTTAGATTGCTATAAAAAACCAATTAGTAACTATATTGTAACTTGACTCTCAGAATTTTCTCAACGGTTATAAATGGACGAAGTAAAATTAAGTGTAACCATTTCAGTTCTATGGGATATCTAACTGACCGTAACTAGCTCATTGGTTGTCTCTCTAAATAGTTGATGCAGATCTAACTTTCTGCTGAGAATTAGTTATCTCCAGACTACAGATACACTCTTCTGACAAGGTCCAGCCGACTTATATTTGAGTTTCATAACCTCTCACCAGCTGTCTCAGAGGTTAATACTGAGCTATATAACACATAATCAAATTGGCATACTGAGTAAACCCGCCATGTTATATGATGTTTTTAAGTTCCATAGTTTGTTCGATACAAGCATGAATGGGCTCTTGTGAATAACTATATCACTCGCAAAGCTGAGGTAGACCCCTAAATATCAATCTGTCTATGAATAAATATATGGAAGTTAAAATTACATTGTCTTTCTATGTAATCTTGTATTGCATCTCTGACATATCCAGGTAATCAATTATAATAGGGTATATATGTTGGAAGAAAGAAACCACAAACTTATATACTTGATAAATGCTTTTATTCAAATAATATAGGGGTTTCTCAACTACATTTTTGTATACTGACTGCATTCTTTACAACTTTAAAACTCTATAAGGCCTTTATGAAACTATATGTCGTCTTGGTTACAGATATCATTGAAGCTGAAATTTGTTTCCTTTTAGACTGATAACACAGAAAAGGAACAAGTAGTTTATCTATACTTTAATTTCCTTCTTGTGATTACCATTTTAAATTTCCTTAAAAGGTATTTTCAAACATTCATTGATTTATACCTCTGTCAAAAAGAAAATCAATTAAGAAAAGTAAAGTATTGTGTACTGTTTTTCGTTGCACGGACATCAAACTAATTCATCGCATTCCAAAAAACTGATATTGAATCAGGATATTTTTGTTACATTATATTACATGCAAACTATTGTAATTTATACTGTTATTTGGTTTTCCCATAGAGCCAGCAGTTAATTCTGCAGTTGATCGATTTTATGCTTTTCTTTACACAACTATGACTACTTATTTATAATTAGGTAGTATGAATACTTGTTTATTTCATTCACATTACATGGGTTGTATAATTCACATAAAATTTGATAACTGTGTTGAATGATCACTCAGTCTACAAACTAGACAGTGAAATGATGTATCTATCACATATCTGTAAGCTTTACAGAAGTCAAAGGGGGAAGGATTGTAATCAGCACATCTTAATAATGGAATTATTTACGACTATTTTGTAATTGTCTGGTCATTATACGCAATACTTTCATTGATTCTCAACAGTTGACAGTGTCTAAATTGATACATGCTTCGAACCAAAAAATGGTATTTTGGTAGTTTCCGCTCACTTAGCGTTCTCAGGACGGTTTGTCAAGTATGGATTTCCTTTATCTATTGTAGAATGTGACTTCGTGAGATATTAGGTGATTGTCAATATTCTACAGGAAACCCTGAAACCAGGTTTTTCATTAATTGATAATCCCCAACAAGATATATCTAAAATTTTGGTACGATTGATGATCTGTGTAGGATTAGAACCCATGTCATTAAACTGGACAATTAGAGAAATTGTTACTGATCTATTCCGATCACAACTAACATTCTGAAGAAATTAAAAAAATTCCTTGTTTTTTCACTTTCTAATTGCTGATTGGATTCTAATGATAAAGTGGCAGTTAGAACACAATATAAGATGAAAATACTTGAACAACAAGACACTTAGCTACGGTTCAATGATCAATCAGTAGTAAATATTGTGACTTTCCAACTTTTCTGGGTTTAAATAACAACCACTGGTTAGTTTTCAATGTAATTTTACGGAAGATTCTCCCGTAAAGTTTAAAAAGCTTCACTTGTTTCAACAATCTGGTGGATGAAGAGAAAAACGTATATATATATTATATTATTAGTCTGTTGAAAAACAAAAGAAACTATTCCATGAAGTGTATAGATACTGCATAATTATCTAGAAATTAAGGATAAGTAATTCATGGATCATAATCTCATGAATGTCCCATATTCTTTTTAATGAGAAATCATTATTAAGCAACATGATCAACTACAAAAAAATAGAGTATCAATGAAACATTTCGTGAATTCACTTAGATAGAAATATTTCTGCAGTCAGTTCTGATGATCATCGAATACTGAACTGAAACACAAACCTAAATATTTCTGACAACCTGTCTTACTACTAACATTGATGCTAGTAGCAATAATAAAAAATGGAAAGTAGTGAGAAAATATTCTGACTTTCAAAATGAATTAAAAGAATCACTTCAATAATGAAAATGTAACAAACCTCATCCAACCAACCGGAACATGAGAGAAGCCATTAAGATGAGATGAAATATAACGTCGTAGAGAACAAGTTTTGTGATCCCGGTATCTAAACGAATATAAAAGTGTATAAAGTGAAATTTATTCTTATGCCTTAAGAAAAATTTCAATTCTATCCAACCCATCAATAACTGACAACTATAAAATCAACATTTTTGATCATGGCTTCGTTAGGAAATTTACTACATTTACGAACGCTATTAGCCCCCAAATGCCCTGGTATGGCCGAGAGTGGGGAGAGCCCACTCTCCCTCTCGAAATGCTCTCACATGGCCAGCGAATATATAGCCTCTACCAGGGAAGTCCTACTCACTGCCTTCTCGTGGTGGGGGTGTTGTTTACGAAAGTGAGAGGACGAAAACCGAATGTCCGGCGCTTTAACCGGGTTGGTGGACATGGAGGGTCCACCTAGGGGAGTTGGAAAACCCTGATTCCAAACCAATGGTGCACATGGGCTCCAGTATCCTGATGGAACGATTGGCGAATGAACCTGTTGCTGGTCAACGGCTACCATGGGACTGCATCTCCTCACGATGCTCCACTGCCTTGTGGATCAGACCTTTCGGTCAAAGGCTCCGGGTGTGGGCCCCTAAGCAAACCACCTGCTTCAGTTCGGGCACCTGGGCAGTATCACAGCCCTCAAGCAAATCGGATGAGATTTGTATGGCGCATATGTATCTGGTGCTTCCTTGTACCAATATTTATGTGTTTAAATAAAATAAAATAAATAAATAATGTCAACATATTATCACATATTACTAGTTTATGTAACCACAAGCGTCATTTTGTTATAAGTGATTGTTCAGAACAAAGTAGAAAATACTGATATAACATGGCAGAAAATCTTTTGTATCAAAAAGTATGCATGAACAGCCTTAGTTTTGAACTACCCACTGTGGACTCACAACTCTGCAATAATCAAAACTCGTACCCCGTTACGATTTTGGCTAACTCTATACTCTTAAAAATATTGAAATGAATGTAACTGGTTCAGTTTTTGAAGTCAGTTAATCTATGAAACCTAACAACCTTTGGTTAGCCTTTTTCTAACGTAATAAGCCATAGGTGGACAGCTCTGTGACGTTCTAAAGTGAAATGGATCAAATTTTCATTACTCAAAGCTTTATATTACTTTTCTTCGATTGATAGATAGTAAACTATTTTTGAAATTGAAAAATAGCTATACCAAACAATCCAACATTTCTGTTAACAATGAGATAAGGATACTATTGACTATGTTCCCTGATAAGAATTTTACTGGTTGTAGATTTCACTACCTTAAACAATTTCTCAAAACTAATTTCTCATTTAATCATAATAATACTACACTTACCGTCAATAACATTTTTAAAAAAACAGTGAAGTTTTACAGGGTGAGAAAAATAATAAAATGCTCATAGACAGTACATAAGAAAGTTCATTGTTCAATTATCAAATCTTTCATGATAATGTTAAGATTGATCTCATGCTAAACCTGGTACTAATAACCGTTTCGTTCATGATAAAACCCTTAATATTATATAGGATAGTAAGATATAAAGGGAAAAAATGTACTATTACATGTCTGTTAGTAATTGATTGTAGATACATCTTATTTTACCTTGAATGGGAGAGTTAGAATCAACTCATATTGCGCATATATAAGGTATAATTCATAAAATGCAATTTTTAACGTTATTTCTCTATATAAATACACAATGTGTTAGTCATTCATTTTGTTATTATTTAACCTCATATTCTGTGTGTTGTTTTTTAATTAACATAAGTAACCTCTGTGTCACCAGTGAAATTCCGAATATTAGCTTAAATTTGATGATTAAATTTTTAACTTCATAAGTATCTGCTCTTTTCTCCGCTCAAAGTATATCCTATACATTACCAAACATAGTAATTTCTGTTGGGGCGATCCTGAAAATTTCTCGCAATAGACATGAAAAGCTCGGAAAACATTAAGAAGCATTTTATCCAATCAGAGCTTGATTAAAAGTTTTGCTAGAAATATCGTGAAAGTGAAAAGTCACATGTAGAAGTTCTGATTGGCTGGTTACTACACTGGTACTATGTTTAGTAGTATTCTAGAGTTTTCAGTAAAACCCAAGGACTTCTAAAATACTATAAAAACCCTACATTTTCTATACATAAATAAACCTTTGTAGTAAATTGCTTCCCGCATATTTTGCGTCTTTTCTCTCGTGTTCAAGTAGCTGTGTAGTTCTACCTTGGTGGTTACAAGACTAGCTTAGGATCCCAGTATAGCGTTCAATCAACAAGACTTATCATTTTCAATGAGGGAAAACTATTTTTGATTTTTTTTTTCTCTTTACTTCTTTATGTCAACAACTAATCAACTTCGAAATGCAACTATATGTTTGAGAATTAATACATTGATTACTTCATTAGAATAGTATCGCATTACATTTCAATGTTTTAAACAAGTTATTTTCATTAGGCTGACAAATTATGCCTCAATTTACATTTCCTTCAACAACATTGATTAAAAATGTTAAGAATACTTTATTCTTATGCTTAAGCATTGAAATTAGTTCCCATTTAATCAGTTTTTCCTATATCGTACTGAACATAGACTTTTTGAAAACCATGAACTTCAGAATTATGCATAACAGTGGGGATCATATGTCGTGACATTTCACAAGCTAATTTGTCTTTTAAAAATCAACTTTGAATACGTAGCAAGCCCATTCAACAATTTTATTATTTGTGTGCTCTCTATAATCCTAATATTTAATTCACTGTAAATTTATGTGTGAGTCTGATTGAGCGCATGTGTCTGCACATCAATCTTTAATCTGTTCTCTCATTGGTTGTGAACAAAGACAATCAATAATTTATCCACAATCCATTAACACTCAAAAATATATATGGATTTTTTAACACACACACACACGCTTGTTTTCCCGATGTGCTTGCTATCTGTACGCTTGTGGGTTTTTACCGAGCTTCATCAATAAACTATCTCTATAACTAGTGTTCAGGCTTTTCAATAATCTCGAGTAAACCCGTAATTTCTACTAGGAGATTTAGCCTGCAGTAAATAATCAGTTAGCGGGATATTATTTATTTATTGGAGTCAGATATAGAGGAATTAATCCTTTACAAATATACGTACTAAAAGTTATCTTTTAAATACAAAAAAATGACATACTTATTAATTGATCCATAGAATGAATCCAATGCAAGAACAAGTAACATTAAACGAATTTTTGCTTCTTCACCTTCAGCATGAAGTAGAATGATATGGTATTCATCTAGTGCTAACCAATCATAAACTTTTTGACAAAATACAACCATTGTAGCTAAATTAGGAAAGCTTGTTAAAGAGAATATACAGTTTTGAACCTGAAGTGAGAAAAAATAAACAGTTAAATAAGGCTTTTATTGTTTTGACTCGGTAAGAAAATGTCACAATATACAAGAAAATGAAACAGTTTTACACTGAAATCAATAGATTTACAAAAGGGTAGATGAAGTAGCTATTAGGATGGGGCAGTAATGTAATTCAGTATATTCATTATATTTGTCCGTTGATGTATTTTAATCTTATGATGTTTACGAACTATAGTTGTACACTGTAAGTTATTATTATTTTATTGATAATTTATATTCCTATTGTGGGACTCCTTAGCAGTGCGCATCCACGACCTCGGCCCACGAGATTCGAACCCGGGACCTACCAGTCTCACGCCAGAGCACTTAACCGATAGACCACTGAGTCGGCATCCCATGGTGTCTATGTCTAACTCCAACCAATCCACGAAGTCGAGCAACCGTTCACCAATTGTCTTCTGTGAGTTCCTATCTCACAACAGACGTGGTTTGAACTCCACTGATCACTGCTTCTCACTAGAACTCCTGGATTTACCTCTCGAAGTCAGTTGCTAGTGAGTATATGATTATTATTATCAGGGTTTTTTTGTGGAGATTTGGTGGTCTATCGGTTAAGTGCTCTGGCGCGAGACTGGTAGGTCCTTGGTTCGAATCTCGCGAGGCAAGGTCGTGGATGTGCACTGCTGAGGAGACCCATAATAGGACGGAACGACCGTCCAGTGCTTCCAGGTTTTCCCTGGTGGTCTAGCTTCAATTGACTCACGCTTTCAACTATGAAAATACTAAATATCCACAAAAACCCTTTTCTGATAATTAATATTCCGTTGAATTTGTTTAACATTTGACTAATTATCTGTGTAAATGAGATCGATAAAAATTTGCATATTAACACATAAATTTTACTAGTTGAGATCATCAGTCGATTGAATCTAGACCATCGTGGAAAACCTGGAAGCACTCTATTTTTATTTGGTGTAAAATAAATCTACCCGAAGTTTGTGCTGAGGGTGTCGTTCAGAAGAACGATGAAAGCTCCACCACCAAATCATCCAGCTCAGAGAACAAAACTCCATCAAAATTCAACTTTTCTTCTTTCTCTCATCAGTCACTTCAATATTTTGACAGTCATCAATGTTTTCAATATAAACATTTATACTAAACCGTGATATACATGAAGGTTACTATTAAAATGACATAAATTTTTGGTTTGATGTCCATTGGTTATTTATTAGTTTTATGCTTAGATTACAGTGAACACTGAAACTTATTTGAAATATCTAGACAGACTTAAACTGTAACACTTAGTTGAAAGCTTACTTCGAGACTGTAAAATAGTTCAGAAAGAAATATTCAGACTATAAGCTACATTTTATGCTTCAAGAAATTACACACATATTTGTAAGCGTGGTTCCCTCAAACTCAGTTATCTTTCACTACAGTCATATCTCGCTAATTGTATTAGTTAGTTACTAGACAGAGTATCGTTGTTTGTATTACGGAAAATATTTGAGCCATAACGCGTTTCGTCAAAGTTAGTTTGTTCCCTTTAACACGATATATTAAACTGTGAATATGTTATTTGTAAAATCACCCAAATTTAAGTACTAGATAGGACGATTAATTTGAGGAAATCACCGAAATGCGTCGCAAGGCAAGCCCTCACATGGAATCCTGAAGGTCAAAGAAGAAGAGGAAGATCAAAGAACACAATACGTCGAGAAATGGAGACAGACATTAGAAAAATGAACAAAATTTGGATAGAACTAGAAGGGGAGGCCCAGGACAGAGTGGGTTGGAGAATGCTGATCGGCGGCCTATGCTACATTGGGAGTAACAGGCGTCAGTAAGTAAGTAAGTAAGGACGATTAATGATATCTTTTCACGTGACAAACGTATCTGATTAAAAAAATAGTTAAGGGGAAAGTGATCTGTTAGATCTTCGTAGTGAATATCTAAAAAAAATCATATATACAAAATGTTAGCAGAGTTTTGTAGTCCCTGATCAAAATAGAGACAAAAACTCTCCGTAATCTAGTTTTATTTAGATCATAATACCATGATAAATGTATGCTTATCGTGTACCAATAAATTTGACTTTCTTGATTTCTGCATAACATTAGATACACATATTTGTTTACTCTCTGGTAGTGAACATGTTTTAGTTAGGTAATGAAACTATATTGAAACCACTTCGTCTAATTCAATAACCATCACAATGATGAATGTATAGGGGTTTTCGAACCCTAGTCAATATAAAACGACAGTTAGTCTGTGAAATTTTTGTAAAATCTACTGATTATAACTTTTGCGTGGTTATTTAAATGATTGAAATCTATGTTGGTGATTGCCCAGAAAAAATCCAGGCAAGCTTATTCGACGGAATGATGGAGTTATATACATTTCAAACACTGTGATGATTTTAAATGTAATTTTTACGTATAATGAATTTTATTAGGTTTGTTTTACTCACTTTGTGAAATATTCTATCCAAACGTATACTAGTTTGTGAACAATTGAATACCTGTGAAAAAGAAAACAAAAAATTTGAAGAAAAGGACAATTCTTAATTCTTACAAATAACATATTAGACAGACATATTTAACACTTTATTTGTCATTTTAATAGTTGAGATCATGAATCAATTGAAGTTAGAGCACCATGGAAAAACTGGAAGCACTGGATGGCCGTTTCGTCTTATTGTGTGACTCCTCAGCAGTGCGCATGCACGATACCGCCTCGCGAGATTCGAACCCAGGGCCTATCAGTTTTGCGCGCAAGCACTTAACATCTAGACCAATGAGCTGGCATCCAATGGTGTTATCAATTCTGTGTTTTGAATATGACTATGAAATATCCACATAATATCGTTTAATATTCATTCATCTGAAAAAAGTAATTGATAGCAATATACTATATAAACTATTTGGATTACTGAGAGATTTTAAATAATCATATTATCGTTTTTAACCATAGTTCTTTCCTGCTTTTGTGAAAACTGTGTTTCACCTAATATTCAGTTAGGAATTACATTTTTTTACTATATAAAACCAAGTTGTTAAATTTTAGATAACCGTACAAATAATCAGCACATGTGAGTTTGACTTTTGACGATTCTTAACCTTTAAGTGAATAAAAAGACGTTATTGTGACTGAAGACACACATCCTGGTTTGTTCAGTCACAGGAATCAAATGTTTATACGTAGTTACGATCAACGACTTTCCTTGCGAATCGCTTTATCTGCTAACCAAAATCTTACTTCTTTCAACAATTAATGTAATTCATATCCACTAAGCCATTTTTACATCTTTTATTTATCGGACGTTCAGTGTTTAATGCTAGTGTTCTCGAACTTAAGCTTGCCACTTAATTGCTAATAAATACCGAATTACGTATTATCATGTGTTCAGTATGCTATTTCTTTAACAGGTGAGTGACTTTCGTCCTCAGAAATATAACTCATTAAGTTAGTTTGTTCAACTTTTCAAACAACTGAATTCCATTTATCCAATATTCCTTACAATCACATAAAATTATAATTTCCATAACATAGAAACATTATCTGTTTAATACCAGGTGAGTCATTTATGATGAAACAAAATTGTTTTGGTTATAGTTTTGTCTAATGAATCACTCAGTTCTACTAGTCAGTAGTTAGTTTGTTGTTTAGTCATTTTAAAAAATCCTAATTACTTATCATTAAAGTAAAGTAATTAGCTATTGATCTTTCAAATTGATAGGAAAAGATTGCCCAGCAAATAAATTTATTTAAAACCATTTTGTTATAAACAGGCATTCAGTACCACTGATGTTCGCAGGACAAGTGCGAGACTTAAGATATATTACATAGATCTAGTAATCTACATTCATTACAGATCAAATTAGAAAAGGGGAAGCACATATACATCATTATCTTTAAGACATTATCAAGTTGAGTAATAAGCGACGCCTCCTAAATAGTAGACCCTTTACCCAGATAAATAAACTGTGGAAGAAAGATCTCTGGTATACGCCAAATAAAAAATTTGTGTTATATCAAAACGTGAGACATTTCTAAAATACTATAAATATGGAAAAATTGTATTATGACTGTATCTAATTTACATGGTTCTATATTATTTTAAAGAAAGTAAACGAAATACACTTTTAATTATGGTTCATTGGTAAGAATAACAACGTATATTTAATTTATTATTAGCTTTATTCAATATTATATTTTCGGTACAATATAGAATTTTCAGCACAAAGTATTTCAACAAGTTTTCGTTTCTTACTTCTTTGACGATCCTGATGATAAATAATAAGTGATCGCCAGTTAGAAGTTAACAGTTCAGTCAATCGACATCTGAATAATGTACATTCTTTTCAATGCATATTGACAACAATCACAATATCTCTGATTAGATCTTTTGTAACCTTTGCAGCGGAAGGCTGTACACTTTTCAGAATAGGTTGTGTGATTAATAGCCATAATGACGTATTAAGACGAACAACATTAGATAACTTGTTGATATATTTAATTTTCTGGTTAGCTTTTTTTTAGCGAGTGGGTTTTCTACGAGATGGGGTCGCTAACCCCATGCCAAACCCTCTTCCTTTACCCGGACTTAGGACGGCCAGTAGCCCCCGGAGGAGCTACAGGCGGAACAGGTAGCCCAAGTGTTTAAGCAGGCTGCCAATCTGGTCATGGCAATCTTCCATTACAACTACATAACTGATTTAAAGCTGAATTCTATTGTAAATATAAATAAGCTTATAAACTATATTCATTCATACCTCACGTTATTGACTTATGACATCATACATTATCAGGACATGGCTTTTTATTAGTTCATTATAATTAGCATGTTTAGTTGCTAACTAAATTAATATTATAATCAGTCAATGATTAAAACTATATATTTTAAGTTATTTCCATAGTGTGCATTCATATTAACTGTTTGTTTAAGATATCTGAACTTTGATCTTTAGTAAAACAATTGTTTTTAGAAACCATTGTATTTACCTATTCTCTTTTCTGATTCAATAAATGTTTATCAAATCTAATAGTGATTAGAATGTTATTGTTATTTATGTCCATAACTAATCAATCGAATCGTTGCTTAAACGTCCAATACGTTAATCTGGTCTGATATATCTGTAGACTATCCCTGTTGCATGTGACTTACCAATTGAAGGAGGTTAGTATCCTATTAGATTAGTGTGATTGCAACTCGTTTTTCATTCATTTCGAAACGACACGTAATAATGATGGGTATGTTTGTGCGTTTCACTAAAAGACTGTAATTATTTTATTATTGTACTAATCAAATTGTTTTTACGTTTAGAAAGGATAAAGTTTAAAGCCAAGTTGTCCTTGTTCTGACTATAGCTTTCACATAGACTCTGCGATAGCCAGTATCGCGTTCACAGTAGAATATCTATAAGGCAAATTAAATCCTACAGTTATTCTAAGCAACAATGGATAGTGGCTAGCAGTGGAATCCAGGACGCGCGTTTCGTCATATTTGAGACTCGTCAGATAGATTTACCTGCATCGCAGAGTTGATGTTCACTCTGACACTCGAACCCAGTACCGTTCGATTCAAACACCATCGCGTTATCCACTCACCTACTAAGTCCTGATAGCCACTTGCTTGTGAAATTATTAAGTAGTTTATTCCATTATTGGAAACAACCACTGGACTGTAAGGTGGTCTTTAATTCATCATATAAATCTTATTTACCAAAGATTTTATTATAGCTATTTAATATGCCCCATTTAATGATAACAAATTAGTATCCAAACGTTCAAACTACATACACTGTGATGTGAACACTAGTGATATTACTTGGTTAACATAGTTGGATTGGAAATGATGCAGCTGGGGCCTGAAATCCAATAGCTGAAGCTTAAGTATTTCACTCAGTTATGATATTCGTCCTCATACATGTAGTGTCCGTGTAGCTGTAATTATATTGTACCCTCAGTAAAATAAATTGTAGATAAACACCCAACAGTTTTTTCACTTATAAATAAATAGAATCATTTATTTCTTACGGATTAATAGTTTGAAGGGACAACACCAACAGAGAAAATTCGTTGATTATGATGAAATAATTAACATCAATTTAGTTAAAAAATATATATAATGAAATGTACTAATTTACCAAAACTTGTGCACCATTTGTTATCATATTTAAACGTTTATATGCCTGTTTCACATCCTGTTTTGACTGTTCAACAGGTACATTATCCGGTAGAATAGTGGCTAGAAATGGAATAAGACTTGTTTAAACGGATGGCTTGTACAAACATGAGCATAAATCTACACGAAATGTTTAAAGTAATAAAAACCAAAATGTGACAGAAGAATTGATGGATCAATGTATTTTATAAGCCAATTGATTTCCACTTCAACACTCACTGGTTTTTCTTTCATTTTGTGCTTGGATAGTTAACATTTGATCACCGTTTTTCATAGTTTATATTGTGAACTGATTTAAACATGAGGAATGCTGAAAACCAAAAACCGCTGGGGTAGTCATTCTTCCTAGTATGGCACTAAGGACACATCAGCGATCAAACACATGCTTTTACTACAAACATATCATTGTATTCAAAATTGCAATGAATTTTGCTACAAAATCATTATAGTCGATACATTTCCCGACCTCGACATGTTATCAGTTAGTTCGTTTTATTTAAACAGTCCAAATACTAACCAAATTCCTACTTCTGAATAAACACAAACAAATGTAAAACTAATTAATTCTTATTCATCGTTTCTGAAATTGGGAAACAGTGAATTAGGTTCCAGTACACAGACCCAAGTCTGTAATCGAAACCAACAAACATACATGTCCTACACATTGATGATCGCTAACTGAAATAATTTCACCGTTCACCCTTCACCAACCAAAGTCTATAATGAATTCATATTATTCTGCATTAATATTTGTTCTGTCTTTATTTAAATTCATAAAGAGAACTAACTGCATGAAACAAAGCCTACAATTTAAGAGAACGAGATAAGGACAATTTTATTTTTTCAATTCCATGAACCAAGCTGGAGAAAAAAACGCAACTGCAAAACGCATTCAGTTGGCTTCCGTTATCAATGTGAATTAGACAAAAACAACAATTGATGCAGAAAAGCATGAATTCGTTATATTTCATGATTTCACAAAATATTTCAGTACATGGCAATCTATAACGTAAGGTGTTTTGTCCGAATCGAGTTCACAAATCAGTTCATATTAATGAAAGTGATAGTTTTGAGAACTGAGAAATTGTAAATTTTCGATTGTATGACCATTACTTGTCTACTCACGTTTGTTACACTTGTTCACTTATGCCTGTTACACCACGTGGAGAAGTGTAAGGTACTTACCAAGGTTCTCCATCGAACTCTGTCCTTTGTTCTCCTCTCCGGTTGTTTCCAAATTATATTCATTCATTTTACGTTTGCCTGCAATTATCAATGCCATGCGTTACTTTGGTCTTGTACTTTTCCTTATCGCTTCTGGATTCCAAGTTAACACTTGCCTTTTGATGCAGTCTGATGATTTCTTCATTGTATTTCCTGTCCACCCCTAACGTCTTTTCCTAATTGCCTCTCCAGACGGAAACTGGTTTGTTACCTTTCACAGTAGGCTGATGCTGATGGTATCCTGTCAACGGACATTGAGTATCATGTGAAAACAATTGTTTATAAATGCTTGTACTTTTCGATGATGGTTGTGGTAGTTCTGAAAGTTTCAGCTGCATACAGTAGAACCAACTGACTTGACATTTGTATTGAAGATTGTGACCTTGATATTGCTTAACAGATAGTTGTTTTGAGTTCTACATGTTCCTTATTTGTACGAATATGGCCCTTACTTTGCCAATCCTAACCTATACGTCTGCATCTGATCCTTCTTCTTCTTCTTCATCGATGATGCTTCCCATGTACGTGTACGTCTCCTTCTCTTCCAGAGCTACTCCATCAAGTGTGGTTTGGTGTCCTCTGTGTCGCATTTCAGTGTCTTGCTTTTCCCTATGTACATGTTGAGGTCTACTTCTTCAGAAGCTGCCACAACACTGAATGTCTTCACCCACAATTATTGCTTTGTATGGAATAGAAAAGCCAAGTCATCTGCAAAGTTCGAATCGTCTAGCCGCGTAAAAGCTGTCAATTTCATTCCGTGCTTCCCGTCAGAACTGGAGGTCATCATAATCCAGTCAACCACTAGAAGAAAGAGCAAGGGGAGAGTAAACATCCTTGTCTTACTCCCGTTCTCAGTTGAAATGCATCTATCAGCTGTCCTTTATACACGACTTTGCAGTGTAGTTCATCATGATGTTGGCGATTTTCTCATGTACTCCATAGTGTCTAAGAATTTCCCATAATATTCTCTTATCCACACTCGCATATGCTTTCTCATAATCATGGAGGTTAATAAATACTGAAGAGTTCCACTTAACCGGTTGTTCAACGATTATCAGAAGTGTCGCGATTTAGTCTATGCATGACCGATCCTTATGGAATCCAGTCTGCTGATTTCGAAGTTGAGCGTCTACTGAATCTTTCAGCCGGTTGAACAACACCCTGTTTAAAACCTTTGCTGGTATTGATAGTAGTGTGGTGCATCTGTAGCTCTCACATTTGCTCAGATCTCCTTCCTTTGGTATCTTGATGAGATATATTTCTTTCCAATCTGTCTGTGGCACTTGTTCTTCCTTATTAGTCTTCCTGAATGGATCGTGGGTCATGTTTTCAGTCACTTTCTTTATCTGACTTTAGGTGGCATATTTTCAGGTCTTGCTACTTTCCCACTCCTGATTTGTCTGATGACCGGCCATCCTGATTTTTTTATCGTTGGTGGAGTGACATCTATGAGAATGTGCTTGTGTGTAGCTTCGATATCCGGTGGATTCAATGAAACTAGTTTATTCAAGAGTTCCTCAAAGTGTTCCACCCATCTTTTCCTCTGTCCTTGAATCTCAGTGATTGTCTTGCTTCTTTTGTACTTTGACTGTTTGCTCTGTTTTACTATATTCCCCTGTTAGTTTCTTCGTCGTGTCATATGGTTGTCTCAAGTTACCTTCTCTTGCAGCTATTTTCGCTGTCACTAACAGGTCTTCCACATAACTCTGCTTGTCGGCTCTAATGCTTTTTTTCCACTCTCATGTCTGCTTTCGTGTATTCAGTCTGTGCCTTGACTTTCTCTGTTCTTGTTTGATTGTTGTTAATTGACGTCTCCTTGATCTTCACTTCTTGAAACTTGTCTATGGTTTCGATTAAAAAATTCATTCCTTATGATGATACTTGTTGAGGCCTAGAAACTCCTGACACGTTGAAGTCAATGCTTTTCCATAGTGGTATCCTCTTCTTTGTGTAAGGCTTCAAATCTGTTTTTGAGAGATATCTTGGATTCGATGCGTTTGTCAGTATCTCGAAAAAAGGCTATATTAAACATTTGTAATCCTGTTTCTCCAGTTGTCTGTTACCTCTCTAGCCATCGTTTCATCACATCCACAACAAAGTGGTGACCTGAGGCTTCGTCAGCGTCTCGTTTTGCTCCCGTGTCTTCCATTAAACTTCTGAATTTATTATTGATTCTCAATAGAAAATTATGAAGAGACGCTTAGAGTGGATTGGAAATACATTGAGGAAATCATCAGACTGCATCACAAGGCAAGTGTTAACTTGGAATCCAGAAGCGATAAGAAAAAGTACAAGACCAAAGTAACACATGGCATCGATAATTCAGTCAGTCAGTCAGCTACAACGTAAGACCAGGCACATATATGCAACGGTCCAAGTTGCCATACCTCGTTAGCACAACAAGACGAACACCGGATTCATAGAAGTAATTAATTTAGTGGTGGTAGTATATCAAGAAAGGTTGTATATAAGGATATAGTACAGGAAGGAAGAGAGATATGAAGCAATTTTAATCTCAAGGTTTAAGGGAAGATAAAGAGTGTATACACCTACGCCATTGTGATCGATTCTGAGCCATGTCACATAGAGTCTCCAACCATTGGTTACGATAGTCACGCAGACCATAACCAAGTAGTCTGCATCTGCCAACATGGCTCAGACTAGAAGTTAGTGACTTCAAACACTGATGCCATGTTATGGTTTGGCCACCCCTAACTCTCTTCCAACCATCCCCTACACTAGTCAGTATCGATAATTGGGGACAGACATCAAAAGAATGAATATAATTTAGAAATAAACGGAGAGGAGAACGAAGGACAGAGTTCGATTGAGAACCCTGCTGAGTGACCTACACTTCTCCACGTGGTGTAACAGGTATAAGTAGGTAAGTGAATATCATCTATTTGGTTATGTAATATGACTTTTGATTACAATAATTAAGCTAAGGAAGAGTGATGTTTACTGTGATATTTGAACTATAATGTAGGCACGCTGATGATGTTATTTTAATTTCTACTCCATCCACATAGTTTAGACAAATTCAGTGCACTTTAACTGTTTCAATCGGTATCATTGTTTTTCTTGAGCTGTTTACAATTAACAATCATCTCATAAAATACAAAAATCATTTACCTTCCTGACAAATTTTCACTTTTCACAAATCACTTACCGAAAATTCGTGAACTTAATTGATCTAAACGAGCGTTCTGTTCGGTTTTTGAACATCTGAATAATATGGAATAAAATACAGAAAAGAATTTATTTTATGATCCACACACATTCATACATACACAATCACCCTTTAAGCTGTCTGAGAATCAGTATGAAAAAACTGAGGAGACTGGTGAAACTCACAGTAGACTTTAGTTACTATACAAATAATTTGATGTATTCAAATTAATTGAATACGTGGTGAATATGAACTAATCACAGCGATTAACAGAGAGGAATATATATTTTGAAGAAAATTAGGAAATCACTTAAACCTATATTTTTCTTGAAGGAATTCATCAGTTGTTCAGGTATTATGAAAACACAATCTCCTCAACATATTTAGTTAAATCAGTAAAAATGGAACTAATGGAAGACGAAGGTAAATAATAATGTTCGTTATATGTCAAGGTTCAAAGAAATTCAATAGAATAAGTTTTCATCTACAATATATGACGTATAATTTAATGGTCGAATTCATGAGTCAATTGAAGCTAGACCATCATAGAAAACCTGAAAGCACTGGATGGCCGTTTCGTTGAAGTATGGGACTCCTCAACAGTGCGCATCCACGATTCCACCCGTGGGATTCGAATCCAGGACATGTTGGTCTCGCGCGCAAACGCTTAATCTTTAGACCACTGAGTCGGCATCCAACCTTTGTTGATGTCTAACTTCAACCAATTCACAAAATTGCGCCACCGTCCGTCATTGTCTTCAGTGAGTTAGTATCTCACAGCAGGCCTGGCTGAACCACACCAGAGTCCCATGATAAGATGAATTATTATTATTATTATTATTATTAATGGCTTTATTCACTATTATAATCTGGTACAATATATAATTCTCAGCACGAGTTATTTCAACAAGTTTTTTTTTACCAAAAAAGAAACAAAAACAAACAAAAAAAACAAAATAGAAAAAACGGAATAGAAATATAAAAGAAGGTTCAAGAAAATCTGAGTTTATACAAATTATCAAATTTGAAACATGCTTAAGAAGACAGGTTATTTACTAGGTCAACTCTAACAGCCTTTTCGTCACAAAGTAAATTTGCTAAGTAAGGTATTACAGAACTTTTATAGACTTGCTTGCGTGTATGGATTTTAATGTATTTACGTCTCGTTCTACCAGAAGATATACAAGGAGAAAGATATGAATGAAGGGGATGGTTAGTATCTGATAAGATAACACCTGCCAAGAGTTTGCAAGACTTAAGATGTCTATCCACAAGCATATTAACAATGACTTCAAAAGAATCACCACATACCTTGCAAACTGCCTTCAGCACTCTACGCAAAATAACAAAGTCTTTTCTCAAAAGCCCAGGAAAGAATAATGGAGAACAATATAGAATAATAGGTAATATACAGGAATTTACAAATTGTAAGAGTAAATGGCGAGTATTTTCAAAAGCATGCAGCCTCTTTATGTAGTATGTCAAACGGTAAACTTTTTTCGATAACAGTAAAACATGAGAAGACGAAGAAAGATCAGAGGAAAAAATGACACCAAGATATTTGACCTTCGACACTGTGTTTATTAAGGAGTCTCCAATGGCACGAGCATTATGGGATCCCAAAATAGAGTGTAGGTTCTGTCCATGTCTCAAGCTAAAATTAACAGCTTGACATTTAGATGGATTGAGTAAGAGACCATTACCAACAGACCACCTTTCAATACGAGATAAAAACTCATTCATTTCTATGGGATGTAAGGAGGTAGAAATTGGCATACATACAGTGAGGTCGTCCGCATATTTTACAAAAGTGTTTTCTGTGGAAGATGGCAGATCATGCATAAAAAAAAGAGCAAAGGTGAAAGAACAGCTCCTTGTGGCACACCTGCATTAGACATTAGAGATGTTGAACACTTTCCTGCAAATACAGTGTACTGTTCTCTTCCAGAAGGGTAGGAACATAGCCAATTGGTTATCCAGCTGTCAGTGTCGATGCTGATCAGCTTGTTAAGTAAGAGGTGTCTTGGAATAGAATCAAAGGCAGAAGCAAAGTCCAGGAAAGCGCATCTAACATACTTCTTACCCTTTTCCAACCCGAACACTATATTGTGATGCAGAACAGCAACGGCATCTAATGTGCTTCTTTTGCATTTGTAAGCAAACTGATATGGATCACAGTGCTCTTTTATTGCAGGTTGAAGTGGCTGTATCAGTAATTTTTCCGTTATTTTAAGGAAAAGTGAAGTTATTGCAATGGGTCTAAGTTTCGCATTTTTATCACCAGAAGCTTTCTTTGGTATAGGGATTATCTAGGGATTATCCACATTTTCGGTAAGACATTACTTGAGAAGGATCTGTTAAAGATATTCGTTAATGGATAACATAAAACATCAGCACATTTTCTAAAAAGGAGGTTTGGGATACCATCAGGTCCTAAACATTGGGATGAATTAAGTGACTGGAGACATTTTCGGACATCATTTTCAGTGAAACTGAAAACACAATTATTCTTCAGACCCTTGGATATAGGGAGCATGATGTCAGATGACTGACGTATAAAGGACTTATTTAAGTCACAAGCATTCAGCTGGTTATCGCTTCTAGTCTTCCTGTTCCCTGTAATTTTTTTAAAGAGTTTCCACATACTTGGAGATCTTTTACAAGATAGGAGTTTTTGAGTAAACACAGAGTTGAGACGTCTAATCTCTTGGCTTATTTGACCATTTAACTTACGAACTTCAGTAGTATTTTTCTCCTTGTACATCCTTTCTTTTACCCTCCGTAGTTGTTTTAGTTGTGGAGATGTAAGTCGATCAAAACTTAAAAAGAAGGTTTCGGTAAAATAGCAAATATCAAAACAAAATTTAAGATAAGAGGTGATAACATTCGTTGTGTTTTCTATTGAGTCATTTGTAAGTACTTCCCAGTTGGTCGTACGAAACATGTTTTTCAGACTTTGTAAATTTTTTTCTAAGTAATTCCTATATATTACTTTTTTGGTATGGTGTATGTGTGTACTTTTTCCATGTTTACCATTATACAGTGATCCGAGCTAGACAATGGAGCACGTTTGCGAGTCATATAGGTACCTACATCATTAATGAAAACCAAGTCTAGATGAGCATTCAAACGAGTAGGAAAATCTACTACATTTAGGTGACCTAGTGATGTAAGGAAGCTACAGTCACATGAATTGAAATCACCACATACAATTGAAAGTGAATCACTGAAGGCAGTAACGGCGAATTCAGTAAATTTATCAGCGAAGCCAGATAGCGCAGATGATGTGCAGTCTGGAGTCATGAAAATATTGGTAACATAAATATATTTGTATTTATTCAAGTGTTTTGGACGGCACCTTAAAGTTAGACAGTCAATAAAGTCATTTGAAAACTTGAAACAGGCAAAAGTAGATTGACATCAGTTAACGTTTACAAACGTAGCTACTCCGCCACCACAGGTCTTTTTGTTGTTTGATCGATCCTGACGATAGATATTAAAATCACGTAATGATACTAAGCAATCATTCTGTAAGTCAGTTAACCAAGATTCTTGAATGGTGATGACACCACAATTACGATACATGTTTTGACTTAGCAGAAATCGGAGATAGTCCACCTTGTTAATTAGTGATCGACAGTTAGAGTTAAGCAGCTCTGGAATCGACACTTGATTGATGTTCATTCTCTTTAATGCATATTGCCAACCACCATGATGTCTCTTATTGTACTTGTTTGTGATATTTGCAGCGAAAGGACGTAAGCTTTTCATAAACGCGCCTGTATAGGTTATGCGATTAGTAGACATAATGATAAGTTAAAACAAAATTAAAAACCCAGATAACTTGTTGAAATATTTACATGGCAAAAACAGGTAGCCCAGGTATTCAAGCAGGCCGCCTACTTTAATATAATGAAACGGCTGTCCAGTGCTTTCAGGTTTTCCATGGTGGTTTAGCTTCAACTGACTCATATATTCAACTCTAAAATTAATAAAATCTCCACGAAACCCCCTTCTCATATACTGTATACTTATTATAGAAAACAGGATAGTCGATATCCTAGATCTTAAAGAATCTATAATAGTATAATCTGTTTTCAAAGTAAACTTTTTGATAACTTCCACGACGATCTGTTCAACACAAACACTCATCAAATTCTTATTCATAAAAAGATGATCTATCAAATCGTAGAAAGAATTGTTTACACATATATTCCCGAAGACTTGGGTGTATACCAAAAGAAAACGGTTTACGATGACTCATTCAAATGATGGTAAATGTTTACAAAACAATCAAGTTGAATTTTTTGTAAAAATGAACTATATGTTATTCCTCTTTTCCCTAAAAAGAACAAAACATAATCCATTTTGTTAATGATATATTTCCTACCAAGTATGTTTGTTGGATAATAATGAATTACATAACGTTTCTGTCGGTTATAAACAAGATGATAGGTGTAGTGAAAAAAAACAATGTTTTTAAAATGTAGCTAAAACGCAGTGTAATTATAAGTATAAAAGATATTTAAAGGAAAAATGCCTTAATCACTGTTTGATGGGCAAAAACAGTTAAACATATGCCTGCTTGGCAAGACTATGTATTGTGGAAAATCTTTGAAGGAATCCCAAATGACCCTGAGAAATTTCAATCAATTTCAATCAGGAGACAGTCAGTGTAGAGTAAGAATATATCATACAAAATGAAAAACTTGACGAGGATACATTTCTTTAACATGGTTTAAAAACTTTCCAAGCTTAAAAAGAAACTCTGCCGTTCCAAGATCGAAATGCATATGATACAGAGACTTATCCATGTGACTCCATAATAGTCGACCTCTGGAGCCATGATAAGGTCGCAAAAATTCTTTTAAACTCGACCACATTGCTTCTATATTATTTGTGTGTACTCCGATGGTGGAGTCTGCAAATTGCCTCTTGTGGAAGATGAAATGATGCACGTAACCAGGTCTATGTAAACATTGATTAGCTCTCCAGTTATCCGTGTAAATTGTGGTTCCCGGCTGCACATACTCTCGGATAATTGGTATTAAAGTTG